AATGACATGACAATGGCATGACAACCGAGCTGTACTAATACGTATCTGACGCAAATGGATTCACCTTTCCGACTTCACATTTTTGAACAAGTAGCATTTCTTCAAACCTGCTCAGCGGTGTTACTACACAGGACGAGTGTACTGATAGGTAAACTTTATTAAACATTATGATTCATGCAAGCTAAACTGTCAAACGTGCGGAATTTATGTTCAATCATGCAAGGACCTCCATCACTCGAAATTGTAATCAATTTTAGCGTTTAAAATAAAACACTTATTTCTCCAAATAGCATGTCTTTGAGGTCAAACAGAAAAGGGACTGAAGATTCTGTTCAGCCACTCCTTCCTTCTTGTGGACTGACACAAACACCGAGTGTAAGTGATGCACGGAAAGAGAAGGAGAGAGAAAATGTACTCACTNTTCACTTGCCAGACACACCAATAGCACGTTGGAAAACAGATGATGCTTTTCTAGCGGTTTGAGCAATGGTCGTTTGGTTGATGCTCCCGACGAGTTCGGAGATAAAGATGCGGGAGGAAGATCCAGGCCGAGTTCGGCATGCGCACCCGGTTCCGACTGTGCGGATCCACCAGCATGAGCCGGAGAACTGGCCGTACTCGACGGGCCACCGCCGCCGCCACCAACACCACCACCACCACCGCTCGGTGCCGCAGCTCGAGCGATGGACGGACTGCTCACGTGCGAGGCGGTATTGGTTTCGCAACCGAACTCCGGTGCGTGATAGAAGTGATTGACCAGAACATTCAAACTTTGATAGTATGAAGCTTCCGAGGTGATGACCTCGAACATAGCCTGCATGAGAAGAGGGAAGAGGAATCGGGTGGTGGTGGAGGGGGATGGGCGGTTTGGATAATATATTTTAGTGGAACAGACATTTTAAACGTTTTTTGGCAGGGGGAAGGAAGTGAACTTTTTTCTAGTGCACAATCGAACTTTGCATATATACCGTTTCAAGCATTCTGATTGGATAATACCTGACTGAGGTGCTTTGCACCGGAGTCAAGATGGAATGATTATCATCACTATCATCATTAGATACAGAGAATTAAGCTTCACTGATCGCTGTCAAGCTCTCAATGTACACAAAATGAGTGAGGCAGTGCAAGATGGATAGGGTGTGGGCCTGATCGGAAGAAGTCAAACAAAGCGAACTCCAATGGTCAACACGCAAGTTGCACAATCTGACTGTGCATACATACCGTTTCAAGCATTCTGACCTGATAAGAAATGACAACAAGAAAGCCACTACTATCGGTTTGCTGCCATGTCCTTCAATGTCTCCAACCCACCAGTTGCAGAGTCTTTCGGACCCCAACCTGGAAGATGGGAGACACCGCCCCCTCCCCCTATCTAATGGTTTTGTGCATTTCTCTATGCATCGTTTCCATTTCCTCTATTAACCTCCACTTGGTTTCCTCCAGCCTGGAGCGGCTACAGTGAATAAAAAGCCGAGTGTAATAACGGATCTTCACGATGCATTACGTAATTGGGAGAGGGGTGTAGCTCGATCCAAAGTATCATTGTTATTATTATTATTGATCTCACTTGAAGAGCACTGTGATTTGTGATGGTCGGTCGACAGACGCCAAGCTATGGTCCAACCACTGATATGGCTACTAAACCTTTTACAATCAATCTTCAGCCCAAACCCGAAGTCCTTTAGCGTCAAATAGGGTGTTTGGCATGTAACTGCGCACCCGAAGCTCTCCAATGAACGGGCGCATTGTTAAAAAAAAACAATCGAATCAATCGGTTACTCAGTGGGCGATTAACATCGAACAGCTTGATAGAAACAAACTGAAAATATGCCCAGTTGTCATTGTCTGACATTCATATGTCGAGATAACGGCGACAGGTGAACATGCTACTATATTCAAGTTTGGTTCTTCGTTGAATGAGAGATTTCCAACGGCTTCAACGTTAACTCTGAAGCGACAACACCATATGTTGTAATTTAAGTGAAGACAAAAATTTACCTTAGTACGCCATCTGGTGGAAATTGAGCCGGTCTTGTCAGATATACAGCCTCAGCAATGCGTTGTCCAATCGCAGTAACCAGTCTGTATATTCCGCAATCGACCGATCGAAGTTTTATCTGATCGATTTGTCCCCTGAAGTCTTTCTTCATTTTTTCCTTTAACTGTCTCAATGGGATTGTACTGTTCTCATCGACATACATCATCATCATACACCTTTTTTGTGGACTCGTCATCTGATTGTTATTTCCCGTTTCGTGATTACCACAGCATGATATGTTTGGATCTTAATGTCGAGATGATTTGCAACTTCTTTCAAATCAAGAACAGAGTTTGCTTGGAGTGGAGATACGTGGCGGTAAGCATCTAGCATTTTATGATATCACATTTTGCTTCATGTTTGTCAGGGTTTGTGAATACAAAACAGTGTATCTTTTGTGTTTTATTTTCACTCACAGGAGCATCGCATGTTATACGAAAACACTGTACGAGATGTGCCAAATAGTTTGACGATACGGGCATATCGTTTAAACCTTGTCCAATCACGATGTGGTAGGGTATGCAACCACCAAATAATCTCAATCCCGATCAAGCTGTGCAACATCAACATTTGTAGAAAATAAAATGTTTCAACACTCTTTGGTCTCAGAATATTCGAATACTATTTGACCTGAATCACCATAAAGCGGTATGACAAAAGTTTGTGCGTCCAGGTTAAAGGACTACGGATAGTGGCCTAAGCATTGCGAGGTTTTAGATGGTGAATGTTTGGATTAGCCCATTGGGGGTTTTTCACAGGCACCAGGCAGTCACTGTTGATGGTTTTGGTTAGGGGCTTCACTCCTTGGAAGATCGTTAATTCTACACTACAGTTGAATGCATTTCGAATGCAATGAAAATGTTTATGATAACCGACAGAGAGCACTCCTACATGATCGGTTAACACAAACGGAACGAGTCTTTATAGGGACACAAAAAATACGCACTGCTTAAGAGTCCCAAACAGGACGAAACAGTTGTCCAGTGCTCTTTGTTGGTTATCAAAAAATATTTCCATCGCATTTTGGTTAAAAAATGCGGATATGCCTACTCATACTGCATGATTTATCAAATTAACAAAAGTGAATTGCTTTATCTTAATTCAGAAGAATTGTTCCTTTGTTAAGTTTACTCTTCCGTGAAATAAATACACTCGTTTGTCAAAAGTCAGTTCTTCAGGAAATGCTCTCGATATATTTTCCAGGTGCATCAAAAACGAATCAGGTTTGGGAAGGAAATCACAAGCGTTTATTTATAACTATGAACCAATCAGATTGTTCGATGGGTATGAGGAACACTTGAACGGCGTGCGGTCGCTCAAGTTGTGCGCTCCCGGTTTAATCGAAATATTTCTGCGAAATCTCGTCGTACATCGTCGAGTCTACGTTCATTCGATCCAGTTTTGTGAGCCCTATCTTGTGATATCATTCCACTGGAAGTATTTTGTTTACGTCTCTTTATTGAGCCGTTTTTCAGTTTTCATCGAAGCTTTGGGATTTACTCATGCGTGCAAAATTGTGCAATTTTATTCGCTCTGTCAATATTGTGATATCGCTCGAAAGGTAATTCAACAACCTTTCCAACGAGCTCCGATTGAGCTTTCTAAGTTCACTTTCAAGCATTCTACGGATATATTTGTGCAGCTCAGT